ATCTGCATGGATTACTGTTCTGAAAAGATATTAAATTGATTCGATTTTACCGATTTGGTTGAGAGGGACAAAAACAGTATTCTCTCGATACGATCGAGCGTGGGCTAAATAAATAAATGTTTGGTGAAAAGAAAGTGTACAAAAAATATTCTTTTGTACGATGAATCGTTGTAAAAATGTCTGCCTGCCTCGATATAATATTATAATAATTTTTTAAGATTTGAAGAAAATTTTTTTTTTTATAAAGTGTATTTTAATATAAGAGTCGATAGATTTTCAAATTTTCGTTCTCTATATATATATATGCCTTTGGTTATTGCATATATGGAATTTAAGAATTGAGGAATAATGCGAATTCGAATTAATATTTCACGTTTGATGTGTTAAATGGAAAGACAAATATTTGCTACATAAACCGATCGAGAAATTTTATACGCGGAAAACCATTTCCTTTATTTTTCAAATTATACAAACGGTAGTTATATTGCTTGTCATTAATTGAAAGAACGGGCATAAATTTATTCCAGGAAGCTTTGCGCTTCGATATTTCAATATCGGCACGATGATGTATTTCAAAACGCGTTTTCCTTTTTTCCGATTATCCGTTCAATATCAGCGTTGACATAAAATGTATCATCACTGTACGGAACGGAAGGAACGGTACCGCCATCACGCATCCGAAAATTAATCGGCGTGGGCGCAGCCGATAACGAATGGTGTTCCCGCCAAACGGCCAGTATATTTTACTTTGGACTCCGGTGTCTGTTATTTTGTGCGCATTCTAGCTGTCCAACTGCACGATTTACTCCTGAACTCGATCAGAAATTCTCGACTACCGTGGATGGACAAATACCCGCGAATCCATTAAAAAATTGCCATGTCCTAGGGAATTGTCTTTTAATTGAAATTGATCTCCCCGACTGCGGAATATTATCCTTCAGTCTTCGTACATACGAGATATTCAGACGCATCATAGGATATTGCCAGTTTCACCATCTGGCGTTCTATTTTTTTCTGACATACCGGCTGATCGGTTAAATAGATTTTTTTTTTTTCAATCACCAAGGTATGCAAACAGTTTGTTAAATTTAATTATTCGCGTTATATGCAACGTTTACAAAATCATAGATCAAGTCATAGATCAATTAATTTTCATTAAAAAAAAAAAAAAAAAAAATACGTACGTTTAATAGTATTATTTCTTATTTTCGTCGAATTTCGAGTTTATAACCTTAAAATCGAAATGCAACGAGTAACTGATTTTACGAGTATTTCAAAATACGTATAAAAAAGAAACAAGAATACAAAAAGAAGTAAATTAGTTATAAAATTCCCGGAAATACGGTAAACGGGTTTGAGTTAGATACGATCGAGTATTCGCAAAGGGTAAAAATCGATAAATATTCTTCTACGGACAACCAGCTAATCGAGGTTGTAATATGGATATTGAGCACCTCTGCAATCTCGTCGAATCAGTTCAGTCGACAGGTGGCGGTAGAATCGAAGGTTCCGCGTCGTTTTCCGCCATCTTTAGTTGACGGATTCGAGGCAAGAAAGGCCAAGAGCTTCGTACGGAGAAGAGATAGGTGGATTGAACGTCGGGGGCAAAAGGGAATTTAGTGGATCGAGCGTAAGGTAGTGAATAATTCGTGTCTTTGTTCGAGCACGATTCACGAAATCGCCTTCGGTCGATCCTCGCGATACGGTAAGCACAGTATAATTTTATCATTCGCCATTACATCGACCGATAGGAAAAAAATTGTCATTTCCGTGACGGCGGTGTTTACGCTGGGTGTGTCAAAGTGTTCTTCCTCTCTCTCCTTTTCTCGTTCGCTTTCTCTCTTCCATTAGTGTATCATAGTCAGCAGCTCTTGTGTGTTGCCCCTTCCTTCCGTTTTCGCTTCCCTGCCACTCTCCGCTCTCCACTCTCCGCCGCTCGTGGATCCTCGGAAAATGGTGATGCATTGCATTCTCAGAGCCTTTGTTGTGCCGCACGCCCACGCGCGTCCCTCTACCTTTGGAAATCGAGCATCTTTCGCGCCTTGTGTGTATCTCTAGATACGATTTCATACCGGATTCGATAGAATCAACACGGCCCCTGCTCGTGTTCCAAAATAAAAGTGGAAGCTGCAACAACGCTTAGAGGAATCTTTCGATCGTGCCCACATTCCATGTAGTTGCATCCTCCTTCCATTCTTCGTGATACAGTGCACTGACCCTACGCGCGTCGTGGCGTCTTT